TCACGGGCAACACGCTCGTTTTTTCCGCGAAGCTCTAGCTCGATCAGGGGCGAAACGGCAAGGGGGGGTCCAACGGACCCCCCTTATATGTTCGCGGCTGGAAAAACACCAATTACGGGCGAGGGTTTAAAGTTGTTAGTTTGAATTGCACAGATGCTTATTAGACCTCATATTTTAAATCATCAGATATTATTTTCGATTAAAACATTGTAATAAATTCATGATAGCCGTTTTCACGACGGAACTTTCGCAGAGGAACTTATTTGATACCTAAAAAGTACCTACTCTTTGAGGCCTTAACATCCCTCAAACTGAAATATTTTATGTTCAAAATAATTTTAGAAGTTTAAATCCGGGCATTCTTTGCCCTCAAATCACTTAGTTATTTACAAACACAGCAATTTTCGGTTCTAGTAGCCCACCTTTCGACTATGAGGTATCAAATCAGCGTGGCAACTTGCTCCCTCTTTGCTCCCTCGGGTATCTAATTCCGGAATTCTTAAAAACAAGGAAAGTATATATCGAGTTCTCTTTCATACCTATTCAGTTATGTTTTAATGGTGATTAAAATATGGCAAATTTTTTAATTACATTTCATATAAGAAAACACGCAAAACAATGAAACAAAAATAACTACGGCAGATAATTACCTTCAGGTATCTAATTCCGACCAATCAGCACCTCAGTAGGATATGACGTCATACAAGAATGGTGGTGAAGGCCGTTTGCAGTCCCGGCCGGTAGGTCACGTGACCGCCGGGCGCCTCGGGTCACGCGGCGGTCGGGAGTCGGACGCGGGGCGTGGTCGCGGGCGGACGCGCGGGGCATCATGCTTTGCTTTGCTTGCTTTGTCAACTTCATATAACTTACTATCGCATTCGTGTGAAAGCCAAACACTGCTCAGTGCCCTTAGAAATTGAGTTTTGGAAAGCTCAAGTCCCTATAGCTCCTCAGGTCGGCAACAGTTGAAGCCTCATCTGAACCCATGTGAAAAAACGAGGGTAAGGAACCTTGTGTTGCTTTTTCTTTTACCGTCATAATTATCTCAAACCATCACAATTTTGAGTTGCCACATTGTCTGCTTCACTACATTCGTGTAAAACTTGGGTGAAGGCTGGTGGCTCAAAGAAAGGTGAAGATATTTCTTTAAGTGCCTAATCCGTGAAATATCCCGGCTTTACAAATCTACACTTTTCATTTTCTCCACGATACATTTTTAAAATTGTTTAAATTTAATCTACATTTGTTAAAATCGTGGCTTTGGTTTTGTGTAAACTAGATCATAAAGTTTACTATAGTTTTGTGTAACCTGATGGCTGAAGAAAATAGTAATTTTGCTAAAATGATGTGCGGAAATTTGTTGCTTTCCAAATCAAATTACTCATACCTATATTTCATTCAAAATTAGGAGGCATTATTACTGTTTTTTCTTGTAACATGAACTGAGTTTGGGTACGGTGCTCCGGAAACGTTGTGGAACTTTAAGCTAGCTAGAGCAGTTTCCATAAAAATTGTTTAGATAGTTGACATGGCTTGTTGACAACTCTTTTGCTGTTTCTAAAAAAGTGAAAAAAATATTTTCCTGCATTAAGCACACAAGGCATGTTATTCTCATAAGCTATCGAATGTGTGTGTGTGTGTTTTTTAAGCTTTTTTTTAAGCTTTTATGCTGTAACTTCAGTTACTTCACTTTAGAACATATTGCCCAGAATGCGTCACTGATCATGAGCTGGTGTATCATATCATATGTAGCAAATACATAAATGAGAATAGTGTGTCATGAATTTTTGTGCATGCTTCTGGATCATCTGTAATTACATCAAAGGCTCGGCTCAAGAGTGTCCTGCCGACCAGCTTATGCCCAACCCTTTCTGTCCGCAGAACGTCGCCTGCGACTCCCGCACGCCGTTTGCCCCGGCCGTCCGTACTGGTCTTCGCGCTGCGAGCCGCGCTGGAGTTCGCGGCGGCGTCGTGGAGCTCCCATCGGGACGGCGTGTGATGCCCGCTTCGAGCTTATAAGCCGTGAGCTTCGATTGGCGGCTCACGCGGTCACCAGCTGTATGTACAGCCTCGGCCCCGACGACCCCGCTAATGGCCGAGACCGGCATACCCCCGGCATGGGTCCGCTGTCCGGCGCAGCGCTGGCCGCCCGCATGCTACTTTTGGCTGTATCGCTGCCCAGCGGGAGCGCGCTCCACGCTGCGGAAGAGGTACACGTTGCGACCCGACTGAGGACCGCAACCGGATGGTGACACGTCGGCCTCTGCGCCCTGGCCGGGGCAGGCGTGACCGACGTCACAGTGGAGGAACGCCCAAACAAGACCAGCCCACCGTCGGAGCAGCATGGAAATATCATGTTCTGCCTGGACGTCGGACCCGGCGGCCGCAGTGCACCTGCACACGTGCGGAGAGGGGCGCTGGAGGCTACTCTGGAGCTTCTGCCATTCCGCGGCGCGACTGCTGGCAAAACGGCGGCGATTGAGGCGGTTGGGAACAGCTGCAGCAATGGTGATGGCGGTGATGGCGACATGGCGGTTTGGGACTTCATCTCAGCGCGGCCGCCGCCCAGGCGCCGCTGCGCCCGGCTGCTCAGCCACCTACCGGATGGCGGGTGGCCCTTACGGCCCTCACGCCCGTTCGGTCTGCGGCCACGTTGTGGGGTGGCGGTCGCGGGGTTAGCGGCGTTGGACTTCGTCCTTTATCCAGACTGCACCGTACCATCTGAACGGATGGATCTGCCAAGAAAGATGACATCCAAGGCGGCTATGAGGCGATCACAAAGCTTCACCAAGAGCTTCTCCTTCATGGAGCCGGCCGGCCGTTAAGTCGCAACACCGGCTGCCGAGTGCCAACAGCTGCGTGCGCTGGCGCCGACGCGTTGTGGGCCGCGCTGCTGACGCCCAAGCTGCGATATCAACCATCTATGAATAAGTGGCAGCGGTGGCGGCTTGTCAGTTGTTAACGTGCCTTAACAGACGTTGCGAATAGCCCGCGTTGGAATCGCATGGTTGGCAACACAACGCAAGTAAAAATGGGCTTCCTTGATGAACCTACTTTTTAAGCATTGTAGCCTTTGTAATTTTGGATGTTTTGCTGTAGATATTATTTTCTACATATATACTATATAGGCACTCACGTGCTTTAAATCGCGCAATGCAATTGAACCATGGTAAAGACAATGATAAATGAACTGAGAGCTGACATGCCCCATGCTTTGTGTGTGTATGTGTGTGTGTTTTTTTGTTGTTTTTTTTTTGGCGAGTCGATAAAAGTGGTTTTGGACACTGGATGAGTTTTTAGGGGTGTGGTGAGGGGGGATGTAATTCCACAGACCTTCTGTCAGATTCACTAATGCAGTAGGTCTGTGCGGTGTTTAGTTATCGGAGCATTCTTTGAAAGTCGTGAATAGGGCCACCGAGTACCTAAAGCCGTGATATTCCCCCACAAAAACTTCTTTTAAATAACCGGGGATAGGTACATGAGCAGAGTAAATGCTATTACGAACGCCTATCACAATGCTGAGCGAATAGGAAAATCCATAGATGGAGAATTGTGCCGCGTTACGGGTGCTCGGGCGCAGCCAATCCACCGTTACCCCAGCGGTGACCTTGACCCGCATCGTCTGTCTCGGCTCCAAAGCCAAACCGGCGTGGCATTGGGAGCGTTCGAGCACTCATGGTCCAGCGCAATTCTCCACCTAAATCCATTCCTGATACACATTTGCTTGCTCATAGTCATGTAACCCCGGTAAATTCACCCAACTTTCATATTGGTCGCTCCATAGACAGATGGCCACAGAGATCAACTTAAAAGGCCATTGTTGCATTCATTTAGTGGAGATCATTAAAGAGCCGTGACAGGCCACAAGTCGCGTGACATCATACGTGTAACGACCAATGACGTCGGCCTGCAAAACCCAATGGAAGCGGCTAGCAGCGTGCAATAAAACAGGGCGCTGCTTTCTAAATGTCTGTCGTGCGCCATAAATGAATATATTCTTTGTAGCCTGGCAACTCAGTATCTTTTTTTAACTATTGTACTAGTATTTAATAATTTCATAATTTTATAATTGTGCTTACGCTTTATGTTGATATTAGTGATAAATCCTTAGATAAAGTAAATCGATGTGATATTTAATAGAAAAATAGCAAACTAACGCACCATTCATTCGAAAGCTGGGGAACCTAATAAAAAGAACTACTAAAATTCCTGAGGAACCAAAGGATCAAATGGGGATTAAATAGATGCCTGCTATTCCGTCGTGAAAACGGCCGATATGAATATATTTTTTATAAAAGACATTAGGTGCATATTTGGTCAAATTAGGTGCATTCGCCATATAGCCCGTCATGACATGACGGCTGGTGCCTATCAAATAAGGAAACTTTTTTTTACATCGCATGCGCTGAACTCTTATATATATATATATATATATATATATATATATATATATATATATATATATATATATATATATATATATATAGGTGCGCATGTTATCTGAAGCTTGATATGTGCATCCAGCATTAATGATGATCAATAATTTACCTCTCTTAGTCACAAACAACACCTAGTTTATTTGAAATATTTGACGTAGGTATATATTATTTTAACATTTAACACAAGGATTATTACGCTGGAAGACATAACACTGAATCATACCAAAATTGAATAGACTTAACGGTGCGTAAATGATAACCATCGGAATCCTTAGGCCTACTTTTAGTTATTAGTAGGCAATGGACATTGTAGAATTAACTAATGCTATGCATATAAGTTGGGTGGAAATTGATCCCGAACCGTCTTGCAATAGATGATTTGTATAAGACGGGCGTTCCATCTTCACTCCTGCACCGTTCTGCAGATTCTGTGGTAGTTCGGCTGAGCAGCGGGGTTGGGGGAGGGGGAGGGAGGCGCGAGGCGCGTGCCCAGCCTCGGGGGCGCCTCCAGCCGGGCCGGCCGGCCGGGCGGGAGGCGGCGGCGCGCCGGCCGCTCACCGCTCAGTACCGCGCGGTCAGTGGCGGAGGGTGGTGCGGACGGTGGGTCAGAGCTGAGGAGGCGGGCACTGCCGGACTGTGAGGACAGAGGGAGACCGCGCTGAGGTCGTCTCGGTGGCTCAGGTGTGGACTGCGGTGAGAGGAGCTGAACCAGCACTGAACTGCGCCGCGTCTACTGCAGGTCGACGCGGAGGAGATACGGGCGCACAGGTGAGGAGCAAGTAGCACGGCTTGCAGACGGGGATATTCCGAAATAAAAGCAGACTCAGGTACCGGCTGGCTGCTGATCAGCAGGGTCTGATTGGAGGGGAAGTGGAGGATTGAAATCCTTAGGCTTATTCAACAGTTACTTTGTCCCCACTCAACTGCCATGCATATAAACTGCAGAAGTATTGAGTATTTCTAGTATCAATTATGTTGTGTCCCCGGTCTTCGTCCACCTGCGGCCTCGTTCTGCAGCTCTTCAGCCCGCCTGCCGGACCACTTAATCTGGTTCTGGGCGCGTCCCTCCCCCGCTCGTTTCGCCCTTCTTCACTGGTCCGTCTGCCGTGCGAACCGGTTTGGTTGCGGCGGGAGCAGTGACGGCCCAGCTGGGTCGCTGAGAGCTCCTCCGGGGCGTTCGCCGGTGACACGGGGCACCCCGGTGCGCGGGGCGTGCTCTACTCGTGGTGTCCCGACCGGTGAGGTCTGTGACACGGCAGCCGATGTGGTCCCGCCGGTGGGCGGTGGGCGGGCCTGCGAGACGGTGGTCCCGTACGGGCGGCTCCGTACGATCCTGCCGACCTTCGCCGGCCGCTGCTCCCGACAGGCTATCATCCCACGCCGCCGAACAGAGTTGTTCGACTGGCCGAGCGGAGTTCGACTGACCGAGTCGAGTTCGACTGGCCGAGCTCAACTGGCTGTCTGCAGCAGCACTTGATCGCTGCGGCCGCCAACACGGCGTAGTTTGTTTGTGTCTATCCGTTCGGTCAACGTCGCTGATTAAAATACTTCGATCGCCTTCATTCAAATATTTTATTTGGCTTTTCTTATCCCCCTTATTTCGTATTTTCATCTTCATTCAATGTCACTTCACTTGTTGTCACCGAGCCAAGTGGTCACTCAAAACCGAAACAAGCATAAACTTTGCAGCGTCAACGTCATTAATAGTTATATACACTTAAGTTATATACACACAGTTATGTACCTACGTACTCGTCAAATTGAAGGTCCTGCGCGTAGGTATGTACGGAACTTCGGTGTTTATGCATTTATGATCACATTTAGCTCGTTAACATTGTTCGATGTTCGACGATCCCATCCAGTATCCACAGACACCGAGAAAAGTCAGTCTTTGAGCCGGAACAACCGCATCGGTATGCATACCAAAGCAGTTGAGTCCTTCTTATCTTATTTCTGCAGACATTGCATGCTTCACAGGCGTGTGTCAAGCCCAATTTTATCGTGATGCCTACACGAAGTAGAGGCATGGAGCGCTGAGCTCTCTCCTCTCCAGCCGACGCGCTACCTGTCGCACGGCGCTCATCAGGCGGCCGGTGTAAGAATGGCCGCCGCTCCGTGAGACGGCAGGAGAGCCGCCGCCGCCGGCCCAACAGGGCGGCACGGCGCTGCAGCATTGCATGACCTCTCTCGTTATACTGTCACCGGCCGGGGAAACAAACGGGCGAACGGTGGCCGGCCGGGCGGCGGGCCAGGTCCGGGTGCGGAGCAGCGAACCCGCGCCCGAGGATGATACGGGTGCAGCCGTCAGAGCGGCCGTTCAAACACTCGAGATGGGGTCTACTGGCCTCTGCAACAAACATAACGGGAGGGTCTCATGGAGACATCACATTGCGGTTATGGGGTACTTTACCTGCATCATTCTCTTATTCGATATTCTCAATAATTGGCGACGCGAGGAGGCTTAATTGGATAACACCGGAACCGGCATGATTTTATTTTACTCCCATCTCCAACGCACCGCAATGCAAGTGTGCATATTTCGTTCAATTCTCTTCTCATCAAAGTTAACGCACAGGTGAGATATCGTCAACTGATACCTAATAAGCATGCTGCATAGGTATCGCTTTATAATTGCCGTCTTCCACAGTTTAGTAAGAAGTGTTTTTATTTTTCACCGTTCAAAACACCTTTAGGCTTTATCTTTAGTGGACTGTCGGTAACGCCTGCTGTATTCGTGACTCATTTTCCTCGGGTGTCTCCCGGTCGGACGATACAAACAGTCGCTGCCGTGGTCCTATACGTTTAAGTGTTTCCTCCCTCTCAGCCGTGCTATCACTCGACATCGGCTGTCCAGGTGCTATCTAAATGCCATATAGTACTATCGGTCGCAGGCGGCCGTAGCAGAGGCTAATGACTGGTTTACACTGCGTCCCGACTGACGTGGTAATGTCTTGATTGCTGTCGCCGCCCTCTCTGCGGTTCATGCAGGCCGGTCGCTGCAGCGGAAGCGGTCTGAACAGTGCCAATCGGACTATCGGCTACTGGGTGGCGGCCCGCCATCTCGATGTCCCGCCCGCCTCGGCAGTGTGCAACTGCATACAAGTATAGACGCGGATGGATAGGTCGGGAGCCAGCCGGCGCCGGACGCCAGACACCCGATCCCGCTTGGTGGTGGCGACAGAGGACCAGGACCGCGTCCCCGCTGGCCACGTCGCCAGGCCGTGCAGCGGAGATGAATACACCACGGTGCATGCCATTCCTGCCTGCCACCGGGGCGGTTGCAGAGCTAGCGTGTATTCCATTGACAACCTATTGGAAGCGGGCGTCACGTCCTGACAGCCCTGCCGACCGACCGCGTCTCAGCCCACGGAGGAAGCAGCTCAGCAGATCGGGTGGCGGCGGCTCAGCTGCTCAGCGCTCAGTCGTGCACTATCAGCAGTCTACAACTGCTCGCTGATAGCAGCGCTGAGGCGCAGTACACGGGCGCCTGTCGTCCGCAGGTCGAGAGACGCGACCAACTATCAGCGCTCTATCTCGACAGCCTGTTGATCCCGTTCAAATAGGCGGCTGTCAGCGGGCGTCGGTCAGTGCGCCGGCGCTGTGACGGCTAGCGAGCGTGCAGTGTCCGCTCTGACCCCTCCCCTCCCCTCCCCTCCCCTCCCCTCCCGGGAGACCGTGCAGCGGGACGACGGCGGCGCGCCGGGGTGCCAACCGAACGGTACGTGCGAGACCGTGTGGCGCGGCCGTGTTTCCGGCCGCCAGGCCGTGTCGTGACGGGGTTCCGGTACCTGATCTGACTCCGAGGCAGTGTCGCCGGCGTGTCCCAGCGGTGTCGCCGTGTCAGCCGGACGGTGTCACCGTGTCAGCCGGGTGGGGCGGCGGTGTCAGCTGGCTGTGTCACCTGACCGGCCGGCTGTGTCACCGGATCAGCTGAATGGGCGCCCCGTCACAACGGACCGCTGCACTGTCCCGCTAATGGGTGTGCTGAACGGGGTGGATGGAGGCTACATGAAATTAGCAACTGACAAAGGGCTGACGTCGCAGGGACAGGTGGCTTTCTGAAATGGCGACCAGTTATCTACAGATCTGTTATCGCGATTCGGTGTCGGTTCGTGGCTGGACGTATCGCTGCGTTCACTTTCCTTCTCTATAATTAAGGTCCTCGAGTCATTTAGAGGACAAGCTGGCCGTTTTCCAGTCACGGAAGCCGTGCTGTGGCCGTGGTTAGGCGGATCTGACAGCACAATATAACACGATTATGCTGAAACATTTACTAATGGATAAACCGTTACAAATGCACGGTTATGTTGAGTTGGAAATGGACGGAGTCATAGAAGTTTGCTCGGCTCACATCACACACAGTGTGAGGCGAGCTGCTCATTTATCGCCGGTGTTCTGAGCCGAACCGAACGTCCAGCTACCGTCCCCTATTTGTTTGCGTTATTCCGAGTACACTGTGGGCGTAACACGGCGCCTCCCGGGTAACCGAGCCATTCGCGGCGGCCAAACATCATCTGATACCGCAGACCCTGTCAGTGGCCAGACGGGGAAAACGGCGCCTTCTCGCAGCCCGCGTGACTAACGCCCGTCACCTGGGTATCGCTCGCGTGGTCAGCCACAGCGCGCGCCGTATGAGTGACGCTGCCGCTCAAACCAGATGGGACCGATCCGGAGATGTGGCGGATTCATAATGCATCTCCATCGGCCCGCCCCCAATTGACAACTCTGCACGGGTCACGTGCAGAGGAACCGCTATCGTTGTCCGACGGGGTGACCGCGCTGAGGCGCCGCGCCACGCGCCTGCTGCAAGTGCACATCCTCGGGATGGCTCGCGAGATAAGGTGTATTATTGCGCATTGCGTATACGGATTACTGCGCATTTCCTAGAGTGCCTTCGGGTTTATCCGTATCGCCGGTTGCGTGAACGATTGCGTCTTTTTGTGGCGTGAAAACCCATACGATGATTTTGGTTGGGTTGTGACAAAGTGTTGCAAAGGCTCATGTTATACTTCAATGAGAAAAAACTTTCATTTCATTTCTTTTGAATTGAGAAGGCCTTAGCCATGAAATGATACAATTGCAACTATTGAGTAACATTTGGTTGGTACTATTTTTGTTTTCCTGTTGTGAAAGTAGTCACCGTTTGAATTATCTTGTTTAACGACTGACTTTCATGTGAAGAGGATCGACACCCCATGGCTTCATGACGAGAACCGTTAATGCGTCTCTCGAGCCTTTTTTGCCATATCATAACATTGCTATGGTAAAGGGAGAAACAAGACGCCATAGGGTTTCAAGTTTGTAGGCTAGGCCCCGAATATTAGTTTTTGCACTGCACGGCCATAGCTGGATTTGTAGCTGTTTGCATGGCTGCCGGATCTTGTAGTTGTTTGAGTGTGCAGGCCGCAGGGGGCCGTGCCGCCGGCGGTGCGAGGGTACACGGAGCGCTGCGTCTCGCGCCGGTCACCTGAGCTGCCGGTGTGACCCGGCGGCCGATCACCGGGCGGTGCCGGCGCCGCTGACACAGCCCTCTGCTGCACGGGGCCGGGGTGCGGGGTCAGATTTCAGCCGGAATTGGAGCCAACAGCTGGGGAGCCGGAGGCTGCACGGCTCGGTCGGCGGCTCTACGCTTACAGTCTGGGCGTTCTGGGGATGATTGATTTCTAAAAGTCATTTTGAAGCAGGTAGGAGGGGATATATTTCCTAGCTATTCGGAATACTGTGATCTGGGAGCCTGGTGAGTTAGATAGCCAGTTCGTTGTGGTCTCTTAGAATACAAGAACAGCTTCATAGGCATGTTAGCTCGCGTGGTTACGACCGAAACTCGATGGGCAAGGTAACACTTAGCCAATCGAATTATAGCGATACTGGGACTTAAACGGCGGATTCATCTCTCACAATAGCTGATCAGATTCACTGGTCTGTATGTCTGCCGGTTGGCGATCCTCGCTGGTCGCTCTGGCGGGCCCTAATGACGGGTTAGTGCGCCGACTCGGGCCGGCTCGTACCGGTCTGGGCGCGCGGCGGAGAGCAGCAGCGGAGAGCGGCGGCGGACGCTGCACCGCCTGCCGGGTATATACGGCCTCCTCACCTGTCCAGCCGGACTCGGCACCGCAGTAAAGTGGAGCTGCTGGCGGCGCGGGGCGTAACGACCCGGCTGCGTTACCGGAGCCGCTGTCCGCCCGAGCAGCCGGTAAATCAGCCGACACTCAGATTACCCGGTAATTAAACCGGCGCGCCGGATTTATTGGAAATACTAGCTTTATATTTGCTGTTCCTCAGGTAGAGTACGCGAGATGGCTTGAGTGGGAAGTAATCTTTATGTTGTGGTATGGTTAAGTATGGTATAACGATCTTATTTTTGCGCTTCTACATACTTGTGAACCTTGTAATTGACCTTTCATCAAGGTCTTGAACGTTCAAATCTCATCTTGTCTTCGGCTGTTGCGTGATGCTATTCGCTTTATAATGTTTAATCTAATGTGTAATCTTTATAGTATACCCGAATTAGATTATAGACAATCAGAATTTTGTCTACTTGTTGTAACAAATCACAAAACATATAATGATAACTGCGAGTTATAGGAATAAGTTTTGAAGCGATTTCAGAGATATTCTTCAGCTTGGAATGGCTACTGATTGGTGCATTTTGCTGGAGCTCTCTAAAGCCTGAAACAGACTCTTTCCGCAGTCAGGAAATCGCATGCGAGAGCCTATTCAAATACATGGAAGCACGCTCGCATCAATCGCACGCACCTCCCGGATGCGACTGATGCGAGAAGAATTACAATGTATTTGAATAGGCTCTCGCATGCGATTTCCTGAACGCGGAAAGAGTCTGTTTCAGCCTTAACACAAATAATCCTAAATGCAGAATCCATTTGATTTGCTGCTTTCTTACGCACGCTATGTGCTGAATGAATAAAACTGGAAGGTGCTTGTTGACCACTGACGTTAGGAAATAGGTCGTAACTCGTATCTGACTGTTTTCCGTCTGTTTTGCTCCGTAATGGCCATTGTCTGCCACTGGGAAGTGGAGCCCTTCCGATCTCCTGGTTCCTGTTTCCCACGGCGCCGGACGGCGGTGGTGTGCTGTGGTCCCGGCGCCACTGCCCTCGGCCGGCCGTCCCGTGGCCGACCTCTCGCCGGTGGTCCGACCGGAGCGTGGCGCCTCCAGCTGCGGGACGGCTGCTCCGTGACCCGCCGGGTGACCCGGCCGGACCGTGACCGGCCGAGGGCGATGACCTGACCATATAGGTACTGTGATCTATATACGGTGACCTGGTCATACACTGTGACCTGCGAGGGGCGGTGACCGGGCCGCACCGCGTGACCCGCCGGAAAGGCAAGCCGGCAGTGCCTCCGGCAGTGCCGCCGCTGCTACACTCGGCTCCCCACGGCCTGGGCCGCGGTGACAGACGAGTGCCGGCAGCCGTGATCGTCAGACACGCCCGGTCGGACGGTGTGGTCACGGAATGCCAGTACCGCCATACCGGGCACCCGGCACGGCGAGCTCGGCCGCGGACCACGGCCGGGCTGCCAGCACCTGTGGCGCTGAGCAGCCAGCGCTGTCAGCAAAGCACGTGAGCTTACTGCAGAGCGGCACGCCAGGCGCGGATTATCTACTTCTCCATCAATCTTATCACGATCAAAGTCAGCTCTGGCTTTGCAGTTACATTTCCAGTGTCGATTTTCGTGCACATAGTTTTCACACATTTAGTGGAGGCTGCATGACAGACTGGCTGGCGCGCCCTATGCTCGGCTCTGAGACCTGGCCGCCCTCTGCTCAGTGCCGCACCACTCGGTGGTCCTGCGCTGGGGCGGTGAGGCGGTGCACCAGTGTCGCGCGCGAGACGGCCGCTCCCTCCCCGGGATCCAACCGCTGCCACGGTCCTTCTGCGCTGGACGCTGCCGCCCCTGACATAACCAGGCCTTCTAGCTCTGACACTGACTGCACTGCACTGAGCGGAATCACCCGGCGTGAGCGGACGTTTACGAGCCCAGAAAGTTTTGAGTGAGTTATAGCAGCAGTTTCGAGGCGGAGCCCTGTTTATTTTTTAGGTGATGACTGATTAGCTTTCAGATGTTTGCACGATCTATATCGCATTTTGCGCACCTTATCGATCAATGTGCCCGGCTCAATTCGAGGCCACACCTGTATCAAAATGTTGCAAATGTTCCGCAGGACATTCCGCAGGACTCGCCCATTGCTTTGTTCGGGTTTGTGCAGTTTCCGTTTCCGGCGAGCTCATGGCCATGCATGCTGCTGACAACAGCAAGACTGTGATGCTTTCGTGGTGATATGACATATATCAGCGGGCGCTGTCCAGAACGGCACTATCTTTGTCGACACACGCGACGCCTGATTGACAAACGGGGTCCGGGGGCGTGGGACGGGGACGGCACGCGACCCCCGGCGCCTCGCGCGCCGCCCGTACAGGCACCGGGATCAGACCGCGAAGTACTCGGCCGTACTTTACAAGCCGGGGACAACTGTGGTATGCTTGCCATGTCGGCCAGGGAATTCCACTTGCATGTCTTCCTGACATGATAGCGACACACTTCTGTGGCCCGTCTCTGCCCACCACCTCCTTCGTTTCTGTATAGCGTATGGCCGCAGGCAGGGAATTCGCGTGCCGTCACATAACGGAGCGGCCGAGGACCCAGATCGCATGGTGATGTCCTGCACCGAATCTATTCGGTACTGTTGTTCCACTCAATTCCAGTCCTGTAGTGGCAAACGGGACATGTAAACCGGTGTGGCCAGTAACTGATATAGTGGACTTCGCAGAAAGTCTTCGTCTCTGGCTCTGTCCGTATTATTTAACGCCGCATATGGCCGCGGTTACATCTTATTCACTTTTCTTTGCTTTTCATTTTCAAACGTTATCCAGTCAATAAGCCTGAAATGCTACCACGGTTTGACTCACTTGGCCAGTTGTCACAATCGTACGAGATTTTCTGGTGCTTGCATTGATACATATGTATGCCTATTATCCACGCCACTTTTGCTTATAATTCTAGACAGTTTAGCCCCTTCCCTGTCAGCATTGGTGCAAAAGGTAACAGTCAACACCTACCTATTACAGCAAAAACAAACATATCAATTAAGGACTGATTGTTTCATCGACAAATTATTTTCATTTTGTTCGTCAAAGGTCGGTCAAATACAGGACACAATACGACATGCACATTGTTCGTTTAGTCGTATTTGATATGCCTGAATGCTACTAACGTTCGCTGAAATATGGTCATGGGGTTGTGATGTGATGCAATAACTGGACACGTCATTTGTTCGACTTGGCAGCCACCTTTCAGCGCTGATTCGATTCCCCGAGCACGTGCGGTGATATTGAACGGAGCAATTATTGCCATCCACTGTCAGACGCAATTGCTCGCCCTGAGCGATTCATACATCTGCATTGGGACATGGGAATGGATCACCGTATAGCGCAGTATACCGTGCGGAGCAACTACACACGTCACATGGTGAGGAACGCCTCCGACGCCCCTGGTATACGGCTTGGCAGCCGTTCAAAGGCGTCTCTTTAAAGAGCAGTTGGCACGCGGCCCGCACCGGGTGGGTACTGAGTGCTGGGAGCGCCTCCCACGGTGGCCGGCTCGCGCCGACCGGCCCTCCGCCTCCCTCCCTCCCGCGGCGTACTGCAGCCCCCGAGACGGCCCGGTTCCCTCTGGACGCGTGCCATGCGGCGGGGGTCGGTGGAAATAGTGCCGCCGGCAGTGCCGATGACACGCGCTCGCCTCCCGCTGCGGCGGTGCCCTCCTGCGGCCGGAGGTCGAGCAGACGCCGCGCCGTCCTCCGTCGGCGGCGGTGCCCTCCTGCGGCCGGAGGTCGAGCAGGCGCCGCGCCGTCCTCAGTCTGCGGCCGGCCTGACCCTGCAGATCCACTGGCATCAGCTGCGCCCAGCGCGCAGTAGTCGCAGTTACGGGGGATAGAGTCGCATTTATCTGTACATTTTTTTATATTGTTTTCTTATGCTTCATTATAAGCTTATTAAAATGTTTGACACAGCGCAATTCTGAAGCCCTTGGTCACCACTGACGCAATGACAGCATTCGTCGGAAAGCGGGCACTGTTTGACGTTCGTGACAAAGAGGCACGAGCCCATGTTCCCGACCTCGTCTGTTTAACTAATGTACTTTTCAGTGGTGCTTGCTGTAAGGCAAGGTCTTCAGGGTTGCTTGAGCTACAGTGTGCGATTGTATGCATAAATAGCTGGAAGCAGGATCCAATAAAGCTATCGGCGTTTATAATGCATGCCGCGTCGCGGTTCAGAAGGTCCTTACACGCTGGCTGGCGCCGACCGACAACCACCCTTACCAGAAACCCCGCGTGAAGACCCGCTCCTATCTCCGACATGACAGTGCCGAACCCGGACCTCAGGGCGAGGATACGTCCTCAATCAGTGCTGTAGGCATTACGCCGACCGTGCGCTGGTGCGGCGACCCGTCTGTTTCTGGGGGGGGGGGGGGGGGTCGGCGCATCTCCGACCAGTTACTGACGTGTATGAAGGTGTGCATTGTCGTCACACACTAATTCGTATCTCTGTGTTTCAGGGGCCCTCCGACGGTGATCATGCTGCGCTGAAGGACGGGAACCGCTTGCTATATCTGCTCTCTGTCCTCTGAAGCCCTCTTCGATCTCCACGGCCTTCTGAACTCTTTGCGTCTACGGTTCGGACTCGGACGTCAGCCATGAAGCTGACGATGCTGCTGCTGCTGATGCTGACGGGCGCCGGCCTGGCTCAGGAGATCAACATCACAGACCGCCGACTGGTCCCCTTCTCAGGTGAGGAACGCCTCAGACCGCTAGACCGGTTTTACGTTCAGCCAGTAGTGCTTAGTATAAATTGGCGTTCAGTGTTATTTGGCTATTGCACTCAGAAGCTCTCTAAACGCTAAAGGCTTGGCGATTTTAGCACCGGTTGACTAGTAAGTCTTCCGTCAAAAGAATAACATTGAACCGCTAGCAGCCGCTCAACAGGGCGGTGAGGGAGCGGCAGTGGTGTATGCCACGAGGCGCCAGCAGGCCATTCGGAACGGGCCAGCGGGGGCGGCAAACGGGGCGGAACGAATACCTGCAGAGCTGGCAGCCATCACTGGGGCCGCCCCAGCTCCGCCCGTCCAAATTGGGCACCGGCGCCTCCTGACTGCGCCCCGAGAAAGCCCTTTGTCTGCACAGCTCCCTCAATCACCGAGCCACGACCGTCAGCTCACCGCCGCGCTCCGGCTGGACGGCGATACTGAGCTTCGTGGGCAACAACTTAAACTCGTTTATTAGCTTAACTTTCTTTAGAAGTTCCAGTCCACAGGTGTGCCTGATCGAATGCCTCGCTGATTATTTTCACCACTCACGACGGCTGAAGTGACACTTTGTGCCTGGTTGCGCCTGTTGGGCGCCGCTCGGCGACTCTCTGACGTCAAGTCTGCGGTGGCGGACGAGAAAAGTGTGCATTATTTCTGTGTCAGGTCGCGTTAACAGCCCTGTTCGCGTGCCGCGCCTCCTTATCCGGCGGCGGAACATGCTCCTCGGAATCACCCCCTGCCCTGGAAGGAGGCGCGCCCAGGGGACACGGCATGGGAAAGACGGGGAGTGGGAGCGGCAGGTCACGACCAGTGCCAATCAGTAAACATTCAGCTATCTGGGAAATCGAACTGATTTTTTTCTGAGCGAAGTTTCGTGGCGGATTATGATACAATGTTGACACATGTTTTGAAATGGCATAACTAGCATATAGGCAGGTACTTTTGACAAACTAAAACCATTCTTTATACTTTATTTCATCTTATACCCTAACCATTGCTTTTTATTTTCCTTTATATATATATTATCGAAAAAGTCAACACCTATTCAGCTATCAAACATTCACTAAAAGTGAAGCTTGATGAGGCAGTGAATGCTCCATTTGTACCACTTATGCTAAAATTAAGTTTTGCCGAAATTTTGACGGATATATGTAGCATTCGTTAGTTCATCGTTAGTTACCTCATAACATTATTACCGCAGTTAGATTTTATACTATTTCGTTTCCGCTTGACCCCATTTATTTTTCCTCGCCCTCTTCAGAGAATGCAGGGGAAAATACCTACGTAATTGATATGAGATTGCATTGAAAAGGATGAGAAGTGCCACGGAAAGAAATAATAAATAACAAAGACGCGGGAATAATGAGCAGGTTAATGTGTAAGAGCGTTGTAAGTCTATACGAACTCCGCTCCGGGATGTTTTCCTGAAGGGAACTCCGCTCAGTGATGGCTATCGGCTGTGACGCTCTCCGTTTTATGGGCGAGTTTGATGCGCGACATTGTCGTAAATTTGCGGCTGTCTGGTAATGACCGTAAGTGATTTCCGAACAGGCATTGTTTTGCATTGTTTGGCTACGCCAGGTGATGTCAGAAGTTCGGATTAGCTTCCCTTGGTGTCCCTGTCAACTAAGAGTGCTACTTTACAGTATTATACGCCAGAGGTACATATGTTATAGGTATACAGTTAATTTATGTTCGCTGACAAAAATAACGGTCAAAATAACTTATTTCGTGTTAAATGGACCGGTCATTAACTATCGTCAGCTATTGAAATAGTTTAAAACTGCGCTGCGTCATAACGTGGTTCAACATCATACAGGTAAATGTCGGGCTACGTGCGCAATGCGATGTCTTCCGGCTTAAGCCCCCCCCCCCTCCACACATACCCCGTTCGGAGTGATTTACCCGGAAGGCAGAGCGTTCTGTCACCTGGCTGATGTCACAACACTCCCGGCACGACGTGGCGACCGGGCGGCGTCACCGGGCCGTCAGAGCTCGCTCGACCGGCCGACAACAGCGTCACGCTCCCTCGCCGGCCGGGCCTGCCGACCCTCTCGGGGGCCGCCGCCGCCTTCCAGGTAGACGGCGCCCCTATCCGACGCATCGCTTGTCCGAGCGCTCCTAATAGTCGGGTGTCGCGGGGCTGGTGAGACGGTGCGGCCGCTCGGCCGCCGTGGGACGCTGACCCGTCACCGGTGACACGTGTCTGCATGGTCAGCAGCGCGCCGAGCAGCGGCCGTCGCGGCGCGGCCCGGATCGTGACCGGCCGCAGCGCGCTCGGCAGCGATGCGCCCCTCCAGCATTTCGATAGCGTGATGACAGCCTTATCGGGCGAGGCGGTTCATTCGAGGTGCCTTACCACGCATCCTGGACATGGGCTGTGGACTGGCAGTGCAGCTTTCTGATGAAATGCTGCAGTTCACTGGAAGACGGATCAGCTTGGCAACTGTGTGATTTTAATCTTTAGATCTAAAATTTGCTATACAGGCGTCTTTAATAAGCTACATTTATCTTACATCGACATTATGATGAGAAATTAGAGGATGTTTGAAAGCAAAGTAAAATTGTGTTGTTCAAACACGATCACGATCTTCCGAAGTAAGCCAATGAGTCATTACATCTTGGTGAAACCTTTGCACTCTGTGCTAATGAAGTTCATCGGTGTCTGTCTGTGTGGCTTCCACAGCTGTGAGCCCGTGACCCCTGCAATGGGCATGTGTAATCTACCCGTCACGAACAGACGAGGCCAGATCAGCCGGCCCCCTCCAGCGCGTCGACTGATCAGAGCTCACGATCACTGACCCGAGATGACATGCTAACGGCCGCACCCCGCGCCACCCGCACCAGCGCGGCGCGAGCGGCCGAGCCGGCTATCCCGGTCTGCGGCCGAGCCGGCGCGCCCGGTCCCAGGCCAACCTTGACGGCGCTGAAGACGGGCAAAAGGTGAAAGTGGGCGGCGGCGGCGCCCTCGTGATTAAAACACAGAGCACGTGGCCGTTGCAGGCGAGGCCGCGTACTTCTGACCCCATGACCGAGAGGTGCTTTGGCTGATTCCACTAACACAGAGGTGAATGGCGATGCCCGATGTCCATGGTTCAGTCGCGGAGCCAGAGCCGCTGTCAGATCTTTACGACGGTTTGGCCGGGAGTGACTCAACGGACCAAACCCCTTCGCCAGTGACACGGTGACAAGGAAAACGTAGACACATTTTCTTGAGTAATAGGCCAATTTTGTTATTAATTATGTCATCTCATTCGTTATTATGCTTTCAATTTATCCGTTAAGTGTATTGTCTGAGAAGTGAAAAGTGATAAGAATTAAAAAGCATAAGTTATGATAGCGTTAGAATGTTTACCCAAAGCCAATATGATATACGATGTACCCGTAAGCACTTTGGTGTGTGCTTCGTGATCCCACTGCTGCACACACATGATGCGAATGAAAAATAACGGGAGGATTTTTGATGATTCTCCTCTTTTTATATCACCTTCTGCCACGGCCCGTTTTACTGACCTTATGGTCATTAAATCACCCCGCAGATCCTTTTGAGTGCACGTGTGACCGCTGTGCCGCTATAGTCGCTCGAGGGACGCCGTCTGTGATGACGGACACCGCTGCCGGACAGACTAAAACTCTGTTCGATGATTTATTGCCAATAAATGCTACCGCTGCGCTGCATACAATGCTGCGCGCCGAGACGCTGCTCAACACTGTACATTCTGACAAAACCTATTATCCAGAATTGGAAATCTGCACTGTCTGGAATGTCTTAAATGACGATTCTTTAACCCTATTAGTGGCAGGCTCCTGGCTACCCCTATTAGTGGCAGGGGGGGGGGGCTGTTTACGACCCCCCCTTGATATCTCGAGATCTAACGGGCCGATTTTCAAAATTCAAACGGCATTCGATTTCGCTCAACGTGATCTACATTTCTAAAAAATAAAAATTAAAAATGTCAATAGGGGGGTAGAGGGGGGTAAAAACGGGCAAATTGCAGATACATTTTAGACTGTTTATCACGGCCAGGTTTCTGAACCAATCTTAACGCAACTTTTGCCGATCGATAGAGAATGAACCAGGAATTCACATGGATCCTAAAAATATGCATTTTCAAAAATCATAGGCGGATACAGATCATTGAGATTGGGGGTACACAAAAAGTATAGTAAATAAGGTTTTTGTTGGTACTGTTTCTAAAAAGGGTGGTAACGGTCTTGTTATGTTACAATTTTCTTATGAGAGAACGACTACAATTGTATTGGTCATGCATAGGCGGTGTCAGGGCACCTATGTTGGGAGGTAAAACATAACCCCCCTTTTTGGACGCCTGGATCCGCCTATTATAGCAAAAACGTGTCAAAAGAGGATGCACAATAACTGTATATGTTATCACATAATACCTTTCATTCACTGTTCGTAAAACTGGTGCAGCATCGTGATCTTCGCCCAAATGACTCGCTTCACGAATAGGACCCCCCAATTCCCAGTGCTCTGGAGCCGCCCCTGGTAAAGTTATGAACTTGAAATTTTCAGGAAATGTGCCCAATTTAGTTTTAGGAAAAGTCAGAAAATTTCAGCATCGTAGCTTCAGCGGTTTCGGAGATATTCCCGAAAAACCTGAGGGGTGGATAAAAACAACCCCCCTGCCACTAATAGGGTTAAGTCCATCCTCATTCCATCGCGCTGCCGAGCACGCGTTTGTGGAGCCATTGTTCGGGGCTCGCTCACATCAATCCCTATCGGTAGCTCGTTTGGCTGTTATAGTCACATCTGCGGCGTTCCTGGGCGTTTTAATGGCTCACAATGCCGCTTTACGGTTAACGTCCTTTTATCACATTGCTGGTCAATGTAGTCGTACGTATGAAAGTGCAATGTAATTTTATGAAGACATCGCTTTTTTAGCGCACGGCGTGACTTTGTCATACTTCGAGCTTATATAAATCACGGAATTGCTTATAATGAGCCATGTAACGATTTATGTT